AGAGAGAGAGAAAAGCCTCTTCCCAAATTATCTACATGTGCTCAAATGACTTCAAGGAACGCAAGAAGGAATGGAGGAAAAACCTTTAATCTTTGGGTGGTTTTGGCTTCCTTTTTATCTGGAGAGTGTAAGGATACATTTGGAGACCCCGCGGCAGAGGCAATGCTCTAGAAGTGGTATACAGGGCTGGTCGTCGACCTAGAACCACCCTGAGCTCAAGAGTTTGGTTGTTAAGTGAGACAGTTGTGAAGTGAATTGCTCTCCCCCATCTCGCGACCTTCCTCGCCAAAGTTGTTAATTGAATCACCGCAGGTGTAAAGTTGGTAACCTGGGTGTTAAGTCAATCTGCCTTCACCCGTCGACTTTTCTTGGGAGGAGGTCACAAAAGGGGATCACATCACACACACACACATACACACACACACACACACACACACACAAGCCAAGTCAATGGGGGAAGTCAGATTCACTTTAACAACCGGGTTACTCACTTAACAACTGCAGCGATTCCCTTAACCACTCTGGCAAGGAAGGGCGTAAAATGGAGCAGTGTTCACTCACATCTGTCCCATTTAGCAGTGGAACATTTGGGCTCCGTTGTGGTTGCAAGTTGACTTACAGAAATGGCTGGTTCATATTATTGTGAGAAAGCAAAACAGTTGTGATTGGATGTTAATGCCTTTATTTTTTATTGCAACGGAGAGTGGGAAGTCAATGTTTCTTTTTTTTCTTCTTCTCCTTCCTCCCTTCTTTTCCCCCTTTCCCTCCCCTCCGCTTTCCTATTGACTTTTGCATTTTGGAATATTTTATAACTCAGTAAAACGTTCGATTGGCCTTGTGGTTCAACTTGAGGACTCTCTGTAATAGCAGGAATTACCTCCAGCGGGCGATTGTTTTCAAAGAAAACATGCAAAGAAGCTCTTTTATGGAGATGTGCTTTCTCCTGATCTTGCACTTTTCCCCCACAAGTGACTTCTGAGCTGATAGGATTTCTAACAGATGCCCGTCTTTTTCAGCATTCTGCTTTTTTTTCAGCTGGCAATGGTGTGTTCCTGTTTGAATTGTGGGGCATAAGTCACCATGGCTGTTGAGTGTGAGTTCAGAAAAACATCTGCAAAAGCCAGTGGGTGCTTTTTATCACACTCTGTTCAGCACCCCCACACACACACACCCCACATACACACCCCCGGATGTGGCTTCACACCTTCGTCGGCATGGTGCAGTTGGTGTCATTTTGCTGAAAGTTAAAGAGTCGTATTTCTACGGACCCGTTTCCTATCGAATTATGTCTCTTAGGAACAGGCTTCCTGCTCTTCCGTGTTCATGTGGGCATCTCCCGGAACGGCATAGAGAGAGCATTGCTTGTAATTGAACTTCACAGGCTTCCAGTTAATTTTATGCCTCTCTTGTATTTTCACTAAAGCACAACCGGTCAGAAAGCACCCAGTATTTATCCTTCGGTTGATTTGGTGGTGTCACTGAAGAATATGCCTTTATCTCTGCCCTGAATCGGAGTGGCTATTTCAGAGGCCTGAGGCTCAACACCTTTTCAGATCACTTGGTTGGGTTCCAGGGGCCCTTTCTCTTGTGGGGGGCCTGATGCATTAGGACTCCTCCCAGGCTAAATTCACTCACAGGGGGCACGGTTTGCTTTGCTTTCTTTGCGAACCCACTTTTTTCCCCTTACAGCTGCTATACAATCTAATAGCAAAATACAGAATTCAAATCAAACTTTTTCTCTTTTCAGAGGCTATGAGCTTCCCTTTCCTCAGTACTGTCTGGCCTTTCCTTTCCATTCCCTTCCCTTCTTTCCTCCCTTCCTTCCCTCCCTCTCTTCATTTCCTCCCCTTCCCTTCCCCTTCCTTCTCTTCTTCCTTTCCTTTCCTTTTTCCCTATTTCCTTCACTTCACTTTCCTTCTTCCCTCCCCCCTCTCTTCCTTCCCTTTCCTATCTCCCTCTCCCTTTCTTCCTCCCTCTCTCCCTTCCTTTCTCCCTTCCTCCCTTTCTTCCCAGTATTTTCCTTCTTTCTACATTAAATCTTTCCTTCCTTCCTTCCTTCCTTCCTTCCTTCCTTCCCTCCCTCCCTCCCTCCCTCCCTCCCTTCCTTCTTTCCCTTCTTCATTTCCTTCCCTTCCCCTTCCTTCTCTTCTTCCTTTCCTTTCCTTTTTCCCTATTTCCTTCACTTCACTTTCCTTCTTCCCTCCCCCCCTCTCTTCCTTCCTTTCTCCCTTCCTCTCCCTTTCTTCCTCCCTCTCTCCCTTCCTTTCTCCCTTCCTCCCTTTCTTCCCAGTATTTTCCTTCTTTCTACATTAAATCCTTCCTTCCTTCCTTCCTGAGCATGTAGACCTATCCAACACAACTTCCTCCTCTTTTCCCCACAACCAACAACCCTGCAAGGTGGGTAGGACTGCAAGGGAGTGGCTCAAAGCCACCAAGACAGCTTTCATGCCAACGGAAAAACTTGACCTCTTGGTCTCCAGCTTTCTGCTCCTGTGCTTTAACTACTACACTAAACTGCCTCTCTTTGGGGTGTTTTCTATCAATCAATCTACTCTCAGGGTTTGCATCAACTTAACTTTTTAACTTGGCATTCTTTTCGGTGAGGCTAGAAGTTGTTGACACTTATTTTAATGGCTGTAAATCAGAAATTCTGAAACAGTATGTTTTTATGATAGGTTACTGTTACGAGGTCTGGCAAACTGGGGCATTAAGAAATTGTGCAACCACTCTGATCCTTTAAAAATGTGCCGCTGAAAGTTAACCGTTTCGCTGCACAGAATTTTGGCAGCCAATCCACAATTGGAAGGGCATTAAATGAAGTCTCACATTAAAGATAGTTTGCTGTAGGGTAGACACTGTGTAAAACAGAGTATCTTCTGATATGTTTGGATGGCTTTTTTTTAAAAAAAAACTTTACCATCAGGAGAACAAGACATTGCTTTTTTAACAGTTGTGTTTTACATTGACTTTATTTTAACCTTTCTTTTGACAGAAGAGGTTCACAGAATTCTATACTGGCCCCTCTTAACAAGTGCCTGGCTTTGTTCCATTCAGCTGTGTGGGTCTGAACAGTAAATGGGAAATTGAATAATGTGTAAGGAAGGAGGAACGGATAACATATTCCAGCCAAAGGAAGTGGACCTGTTCCTTATCTCAGAGCTTTGGTTATTTTGGGAAACTGGGCTGGGGAAAGTCGAAAGAAACTCCTAGAACAAACAAATAAATACTGTAGCTGATAAAATCAGCAGAAAGAAAACTGGCTATTTTGACCCAGGGCTGCTACCATGAGGGTTTGTTATGATATGTTTATTATCAATATGATTTAGTATTAATATTATGCTGAGAAAATACTGTTATTATATGATCATTACTAATGAACATTATTATTATTGCTTAAACTAACTGTAACCAGACAACACGCTGTTTATAAAGATATTGAAATTCTTGCTCTTTGTTTATATAGTAAAAATAAAAAAAAATTGAAAAAAAAAAGAAAAATACTTCACAGAAGCACCCATATTCAGGTTTTTCTGTCTAAAATTTACAACAGGCCTTGTCGGTACAGGTAGTCCTCAACTTACACCCATTCATTTAGTGACCATTCGAAATTACAACAGCACTGAAAAAAAGTGTCTTATGACCATTCACACTTAACCGCTGTTATAGCGGCCCCGTGGATATGTGATCAAAATTCAGGTGCTTGGCAACTGACTTGTATTTATGACAGTTGCAGTGTCCCGGGGTCATGTCATCACTCTTTGTGAGCTTTTGAGCAACAAAGTCAGTGGGGATACCAGATTCATTTAATGACCAAATGATCCACTTAACAACTGCAGTGACTCGCTTAACAACTGTGGCAAGAAAGGCCTTAAACTGGAGGCAAAATTCACTTACCTGTCCGGAAATGTTGGGCTCCATTGTGGTTGTAACTCGAGGACGACAGACCACAATGGAGCCCAACATTTCTACTGCAAAGTGAAACATTTGTTTGAGTTTTGCCCCCATTTTATGACCTTTCTGTGTCACAGTTGTTAAGCGAATCCCTGCAGTTATTAAATGAGTAACGTTGTTAAGCGAATTTGGCTCCCCCATTGACTTTGCTTGTCAGAAGGTCGGCAAAAGGGGATTCCTATGACACCCCCAGGACACCATGACCGTCATAAGTATGAATCACTTGGCAAGCATCCGAATTGTGACCGTGGAGATGCTACAGAGGTCATAAGTGTGAAAAACCATCATAAGTCCCTTTTTTCCCAGTGCCACTGTAACTTTGAACGGTCACTAAATGAACTGTTATACATCAAGGACCGCCTGTATTTCTCTACCTGTTGCTAGTTGCTTGAAGCCTTTTCTGGCTGCACTTCCTTGAAGCCCGGGATCACTTTCATCGTGACCCCTTCTCTAAATCAGGGGTCTCCAACCTTGGCCACTTTAAGACTTGTGGACTTCAACACCTGAGGAACTCTGGGAGTTGAAGTCCACAAGTCTTAAAGTAGCCAAGGTTGGAGACCCCTGCTCTAAATCCTTCTCCCTTCTGGGTGAACTTTGTCCTTCTAAACCCTTTGCCCATCGCTAGGCGTAGGGAGTGTTTTGTTGAGTGGGGCAGATGACATCTCGGAGGGAGATAATTTGGACGTGAAAACGGCTAAAGAAAGCCCCCAAGGGACACTGACTCATTCGACTTGCATTGCACCCATCCTCGTGATTGCGTTTAAAGAAGGGAAGACAGCCAGGGAGATCCAAGACCATGAGTCTCTTGTGTCTGCTCTAGCTCAGCCCCGAGGCAGCGGCTGAAAGAGTCTGGCCAGTCCCTCTTTATCATTTGAAATCTATCTTGGCCTGCGCTGAAACCGTTAAGGAGCTAAAGTTCATCCCAGTTTAGCTTTGCAGGAAGATTAAGCCATTCTCGCCTTTCAATTGTGGTTGAATATCCTCGGGTTAGTTTATGATCTACATTAAACCTGGGGTTCTCTTTCTCTCTCTCTCTCTTTTTCCCCCAGGTGCTGGAAAACTATTCTGATGGACCCATGACCCCGAAACAGATTCTTCAGGTTATAGAAACCGAGGGCCTAAAGGAAATGAGGTTAGTCCTGTTCTTCCTCCTAAGTCGAAGGATGAGGAGCTAAAATTGGCTGACTTCTTTTTCCCTAACTTTCTTCTCTTCAGCCTATCTGCTTTGGAATGCCTTAGGTCAGGGGTCTCCGACAGGGGTGGGATTCAAATTTTTAACAACCGGTTCTGTGGGCGTGGCTTAGTTGGTGGGTGTGGCTTGGTGGTCATGTGATTGGCTGGGCGTGGCCAACTCAACATCACTCACAACGAGGCACGCATCTCCTCGCCTGGCCTCTCCTGACTGTGGGGATGCTGCAACAGTCATAAGTGTGGAAAAGGGTCATAAGTCACTTTTTTCAGTGCCCTTGTAACTTTGAATGGTCCCTCCACACAAGCAAAGTACCAGCAAAGGAGAGGAAAAAAACTCCAGAGAAGTTCCAGAGACAGGAAGTCTAGTCCTGCCAAGAATAGGGTTAACGGAGAGGCAGTTTCTATAAGCAACACCAGAATGTTTCCTTCCTGCCTTCCTTACAGGATTAGCCCTGTAATTTCTTCTAACAACCGGTTCTCCAAACTGCTTAGAATGTTAACTGGTTCTAGCGAATAGGTGCAAACTGGTAGAATCCCACCCCTGATCTCCAACCTTGGCCACTTTAAGTTGGTAGACTAGTCAATGCTGGGGATGAGGCGGTCCCACATGTGAGGGTTGAGGCTCTAGAAAGAGCGCAAAGAACAGCAACACAGATGATTAGAGGCTCAAACATATGATGAACGGTTGCAGGAACTGGGCATGGCTGGTCTGGTGAAGAGAAGGACCAGAGGAGACAGGAGAGCAGTTGTGAAGACCCAAAGGGGCGTGGCACAAAAGCAACAAAGTCACAAAAATAAAGTCCCTTTAATTCCTTCAACATGGCTTCCAATATCCAATTATCATCGGCTGGAGAAAAAACTCTCCCCAGAACAGTTTTTAAAAGAAATTCTGTCCAAACTCAAAGTACATATAAATTATAAAGAAAAACCAACACAAACTACGCTGCAGCAATTAATGAGACAGGGCAGGATAAGGGATTGAAGATGTCAAAAGATAACGAAATACGCACACTTGGGAGGATGCCAGAACTCAGATAAGACTTGACAAACCAGAATAATTTCACGCTTTGCTTCCAGCAACTTTGCCATGCGCGGTTTGCCCTTTTAAACGGTCTTCCCAGCTGCAGCCCATGAAGGGGATCAGGGCCCTTTCCTCCCCCGTAAACCACGTTGCTCCCTTATCCGTTCCTCCCTGTGTGCCCTAGGATGACGAGAGGGTGGCCCTGGGTCTTCCTCTGAATGCCCAGCCAGACTGCGCCCTTCCCCAGTTTCCTCCACAGCCACCGGATGACAGCAGTGTTCCCATATTTCAGGGGCTGCCCCAAAGAAGAGGGAGTCTAGCTATTCTCCAAGGCACCTGAGGGCAGGACAAGAAGCAATGGGTGGAAACTAACCGAGGAGACAAGCAACCTTAGAACTAAGAAGAAATTTCCTGACAGAATAATTAATCAGTGGGACAACTTGCCTCCAGAAGTTGTAAATGCTCCTGGAAGTTTTTAAGAAAAGATTAGACCAACAGTCTTTCTGAAATGGTATAAGGCTTCCTGCCTGGTTGGACTAGAAGACCTCCAATGTCCCTTCCAACTCCCTTATTCTGGTTGATTGGAAGCAGCAAGTAGCTTCATTTTGAATACGGTTTACATTTTAGGTCTTTTGGCAGGCAGCTCTCGAATATCTCCTTGGTTTACTAGCTTAGCTCTTTTTCTGTATTATTATTTACATTAATTACACGGTAACTATCTACATTACTGTAGGAGGCTACAGTGCACTTCCTCTGTAGTTGCAGGTAGTCCTTGAGTTAAAATTGACCCCCAAATTTTATGCTACTAAGTGAAACATTCTTTAAGTGATTTCATCCCATTTTACAAACTGTCCTGCAGTTGTTTAGCGAATCACTGCAGTCGTGTTCAGTTAGTAACACAATGGTTAAGTGAAACTAGCCTCCCCGTTGTCTTTGCTTGTCAGAAAGGACCCCTTGACACTGAAACTGTCGTAAGTACATGCCAGTTGCCAAGCATCTGAATTTTGATCGGGTGCCCACGGGGATATTGCAACGGCAGCAAGTGTGAAAAACAGTCACGAGTCCCTTTTTTCAATGCTGTTGTAACTCTGAACGGTCGCTAAATGAATGGTTAAAACTCGAGGACCTCCTGAGTTCTCTTAATGGTTCTGGCTAATGTTGTCTGAATGAAGAAGGGGCTTGAGGCGGGCGGGGTTCTTACGAATGCAGATCAGCGACTGTCCTATTGCCGTGTCTTTTCCAAGAATGCCATTGGTCTTAAGCATCTGTAGAAGTACAAACTTCTGTTGTTGATATTCTCTCTTCAGCTTGCATCGATGTTTAATCTGTCCATAACTGCCAAAAACGCAGCTGAGATTTCCTCCCAAAAAAGACACACACACACAGACACAGAACACACACAGACACACACACTCAAAATCTTTTGGAGGAGGGAGAAAAGCAACGAAGTTCGATTTGGGAACAGTTTTGTTAGGGCAGTGTGTAATTTTTCAATGTATAAGCCTACTTCCTTTTTTTAAAAAAAATACATTGAAACCAAAGCTCTCTTGAGGTGTTGAAGACTGAAAATCATATTTTAGAACCGGTTTCAGTTCTGTTTTTCTTTAGCCTTTTCCTCTTTAGAGAGCTCTCCTATCCAGATGCTATAGATTGTTTTCCTCCCAACTGTATTTTTACCAACGTTAACAAGTATAAACATCCAAAACTTACAATGAAGGAAGTATTAGAGACAATAAACTATTAAAAAACTAAACAAGCAAAACATAGAAGAGGAACAAAACCCTAAACATGTTAAAACCCAGATTTAAAAAAATAAATAAATACTAGTGCTAAATATTTATGGTCGTGTGTGTGTGTACAACTATACACCAACTATATAGAAATCATTGCTTTACAAAAGAAGACATTGCCTAATAATTCTAATTTGTTATTGTAAAAATATCATGAATTCTATGCAGGTAGTTCTTGACTTACAACCATTTATTTAGTGACCGTTCAAAGTTACTAATGGCACTGAAAAAAGTGACTTACGACTGTTTTTTTCACACTCACCACCACTTGCAGGGTCCCCTGGTGTCACATGATCAAAATTCAGACGCCTGGCAACTGACTCATGTTTATGACCGTTGCAGTGTCCCGGGGTCTCCTTTTACGACCTTTGGACAAGCAAAAGTCCACGAGGAAGCCAGATTCACTTAACAACCGTTTGACTAACTTAACAACAGCAGTGATTTATGTGACAGCGGGGGCAAGGCAGGTCATAAAATGCAGCACGCAGCAGAAACGTCGGGCTCAATTGTGGTCATAATGCCGAGGACTACCTGTGACATTGCCTTTTCCAAGAGGGATATGGCTCGTATCAGAGAGCCAAACCTTAATACCAGGACTGATAATTGCTTTCCCAATTCTCAAACAAGCCCAGATGCTGTTTTTTGACAGCCCTATTCAGACGATACCTGGGCGGCCTGAACTTTGTCTACCCAGCCAAAGTGGTAGCTTCCTTGCCCAGGGGAGACGGCCTGGGAGAACCGTTACCCATAGGGGAGCTGTAGGTAGGGGGTCCACAGTGTTGGGGCCAAACGTATTTCTCCTTGAAATAAACATACAGAAATTCAAAACACGCATAACCAGCTCCTTGGCCAGCTCCATATTTTGGAGATTAACCAGGAACAAGACAAATTATCTGCCTGATTATCAGCACAGACTCTGGAAACTATCTGTATCCATTTGGGACCTGAGGTGCACCATTCTTAGCCCTTCCTTCCTTCCTTCCTTCCTTCCTTCCTTCCTTCCTTCCTTCCTTCCTTCCTTCCTTCCTTCCTTCCACTGTGTCTCTTTCCTTCCTCCCCTCTCCTTTCTCTTCCTCCCTCCCTCCCTCCTCCTTTCCTTTCTCTCTCTCTTTTCTTTTTATTTCTTTGTCTCCTTTCTTTTATGTCTCTCTTCTCTTCCCTCCCTCCCTCCCTCCCTCC